CGCCAAAGGCTGTTTTGAACAAATGTGCATAAACTACACCCTTATAATTCTTCATAAAAGAAAAGAACATACTTAAATATGCCTTTACTGTTAAATGTCATTGTCTCTCCTTAAACTCTGCAGTGTGTGGCCGTTATTCCTTTACAGAACCATTAAAAATAAAATGATGCATAGGCTACAGAAAACAGCAACGAGCGCTCTCTAAGCTGTCATTCACTTCAGCTGCAGCGCGAATGCACAACGCTGCAAATCGAATGTTAAATTAACATTATTATTGCAAATAATAAATTAACATTATTATTGAATTTCATAAGTTCCACTTATGATTTACGCGCGTTTGTTCGCGGGAAAGTGAGCAAGACAGGACAGTTAAGGTATCATGATTATGGTTGAATAAGATGAAAGACATATAATACAAAGAAATTAGCTACACACATTTATCATTCAGTAGTACGTTTTAAATATAATGTAAGTGCAACTTGTGTAGATTTAAAAATGCATGACTGCTTCATTTTGATGTGTATAAGTATACTTTTACCATCTAATGTGTCCCTAGACGTGTGCATCACTAAGGTTAAATTAGCCAAAGTATTTCTTCGGCCTGTGCTCTGGAAGTGATCTGTTAATTCTGCTAAACTTTAATTAGCCTACTAAAACTAAAACTAAAACTGAAATTAAACTATATAAAAACTAAAGAGAAATGTGTTCACAAAATAAAAACTAAACTAAAACTAACAAAATTATCAAGGAAACTAATAAAAATGAAACTAAATTTTATTGCACATTTGAAAATGATATTAAAATAAAATGAATTTAAAAATGCAAAACTATAATAACCTTGTTGTGTAGTGCTGGGCGGTATGACCAAAAATGTATATCACGGTATTTTTCAAAATTATACCGGTTTCACGGTACATAACGGTATTTTTTTTTCATGCATGACCGGGTGTTAACCATATTTTCTACTGATTGAGAGAGGAAATACTGCAGTATATTGACTTAGAATGCCCTATTTTACTGTCATGATGAGTGAATATTGTCAAAAAATACCACACGAAATAGTGACTAAACACGACCCCTTTTAATACATGTTAACCAGGAGTCACTCTCATTTATAATCGTGGCATCGTCTGATAAAATCAACATGTATCTATCTACACTAAAGAGCGGCTATGCGGTTGTTTTGGCTATATTACTTTTTTGTCTCATGCAGTGCACTGTCTGCGTCTGAGTAACAAACAAAAAAAAACAACAAACAAGAAAGTGCATGTGATATTAACAGACGAACTACGCTCATATTTATAATTCCAAACAATCAGTAAGCGACAGGTGTGAATGTCAGACTGTATTGTAAACAGCTTTACAGTCGAGTGAGCCAAAGTAATAATCAAACATGCTCTCCTAGACTATTCTCATACGTAACAGTGGGAGTATGATTAATTTCAGTCAATCAGTTCATTTGGACATGCAGATGAAAATGATTCACTGATTCATCTTTTTATTCCAAAATATTGTGTTAAATGTTGCTGTGCATTATGTTTTTGACTCTGCTTTTAGTGTATTTCTACTTTAAATAGTCAAATAATTGAACAAATTAAATTGTGGCCTTTTAATGAACTGAATCAAAAGATTTTATTCCTTGGGAAGAACCAAAACTAAAATAAACGCTAACTGCTCTAACTATACATTCTATCATCTGATATTTATTCTGATTCAAAAGAATTTGAGCTTGACATGAGAAGCTTCCCCAACATTCCATAACAAAGTATTCTAACACCAAAATCTGTCTCTGCTATCAAAACTTTATGATTTCTGATTTTAAAGTCTCACAGTTAGAAATTCTGGCTCTCTCAATTGAATGGAACACAGCATTAATATTTATGAAGTCCGGTAATTCCAAGATGAATCACTTCTGCTTTGAACAAAAAGGGATTTGTTGCCAATACTAATTTATATCTCTTTTCACACAGGTTAGTATACATGGGGCTGCACCTATTGAAGGCAACCTCTCTACAGACCCCCTGGCCATACATCCATCTCATGGGACCTGATAGGAAATAGATGGTTCATCCACCTGGTTCCATTGATCTGTGCATTTGTGTTTTTCTGCTTGTGTGTGTCTATATTGGGGTGTGGGGTCAGGGGTTCATCTGCTGCTAACACTATAATAGCACGATCACTCTGAGTGCCGGGCTATTTGGATGAAAGCTATTTTTTCACTCTGAAGTGGTGGCTCACACTCATGGGGGCTTATCTGCTCATTTTACAATGGCAGTTCATAGCGACCATAACAGTTAAGCATCAAAAAGGACAAAAATACACCATAAAAGTAGACTACATTACACACACAATGCTATAATTTTGTTGATATATGTTAATGCACAGTATTAAATTTCATGCAGTATATGTGTCATGATAAATCTGTGTGAATCTGCTTTCATGTTTGTGGATTCCCAAAGCAGCAGTGAGGCATTGTAAACACAGCTTCCTGCCAAACCACTGCCCAGAAATCCATCTCTCATCTCTCTTCTGAACAGATATATGGCCTGAAGATAAAACATCCAATACTCTCTCCAACTCTCTCTCTCTCCATGAGCGTATCTGGATCGCCCTCCCTTTAGACTCTCCTCTCAATCCCATCATGAATCTAAAGGCTGGGCACAAAGCAAATTGCCAGCTTAAAACTTTCCCTGACACCACATAATAATGATATTCACCTCAAATTGCGGCAAAAAAATTAACAATGGAATAAACGTGGGATGTCTGGGCATATTAATCAACAGGAGAATAGTCGTAGAAAAATCACAGGCACTTCACGGTGGACTCCAATATTTCTTTCTCCTTCTTCGTTCACAAACTCACTTGACGGAAGTGCTAATTTCAAAGCGGGCAGAGGTAAAACCAGCTGGACACTTTGGACAGAATATACAAACATGTTTTATCAATCAACAAACCAGCAGATTTGTGAGATGCCCGTCAGACAGTGTGCAAAGAACAGCTTATCTTGGCATTGACTTTGCATTGACTTCTTTTATTTTTACACTGAGCTAATGATTATTAGATATTCCCCCAAAACAGAAACCTTTTTGCATTTTCATAAAGACCTTATGAAGTCTGTTTACTAATCTGTTTTCCTTACGGACCAATTGGCTGCTGCTCACAATGTAGGCAATACCTGATTCAAAAGACTGAAAGCAACAAAGAAAAAACTTAAATATTTGGAAAGAGAAAATAAAAATTAACATGTCAAAGAGTTATGGAACAATTAATGCATGAAATGAGAGAGGAAGATAGACGAAGGGAGTGTGAAATACTCTCAACAGAGAGACCGTTAGAGTTCACGGTATGACAAATTAAAAATAATAAGCAAAAAGCAATAAAAACAGATCAAATGAAAGGATATGGGTTGAAATAGGCATAAATTGTACCTTCAGTCCTCCACACTCTGCTGCAGACCCTCTGTCCACACCTGTGATGTAGATACCTAAAGAGTATTCAGCCCCTCCGCGGATCATGAGACCCAGAGAACGGCCGTCATTCAGAACCAAATTTACCTGTGATGACATAGAGGTTGTCTGATTAATAGCTAAATCAAATGAACAAATTACATATCTAAAAATGCATTTAACATATTTTTTGTCTGTGTTTTAAACAATATACACTATGTTCAAAAGTCTGGGGTGACTAAGTGAACACTTTTATTTAGAAAGAATGCATTAAATTGATCAAAAGTGACAAAGACATTTATGTTACAAAAGATTTCGACATAAATGTATCATGATTTCAACTAAAAATATTAAGCAGCACAACTGTTTTTTTTTTTAACACTGAAAATAATAAGAAATGTTTCCTTAGTACCAAATCAGCATTATTAGAATGATTTCTTAAGGATCGTGTGATGCTGAAGATCGTTGAAAATTCAGCTTTGCCATCACAGGAATAAAATGAATGTATTTTTTAATTAATCAAAAAATTGCATTCTAAAATATATTAAAACAGAAATCAATTATTTTAAACTGTAATAATATTAAACAATTTCATTACAGTTTTTACTGTAGTTTTGATCAAATAAATGCAGCCTTATCGAGCATAAAACACTTTGGGAACTTTTGAAAAGTAGTGTAGCCTATATTTTGTGCTCTGTTTCTTTCAAATAAATACACTTGGTTTGACATTTTATCTAATGCAATAACAATCAGACATTTTGAAGTGTGGCTTAAGCATCCAAATACTTCACACACAGGCTGCTTTACACACACAAACACACACAGGTCACTGAAATGTAGCGCTGACATTACGACGACAAGGAAATTAAAATATTTACCAAACACAATGTGCTGTTCACCTCTCAAATATAGAGCAGCCATTACTGTGCCTTACAACTATAATTCTCGACTCTAACAACCTATGCGCCTTAGCGAACGACAGTTCTGCTGAACCAGCACAAGAACTAATGTGACTCCCACGACCTCTACAATGTGCAGCACACAAAAGCAACAATAGTGCTGTGATTAGAATGCATCATAGAATCCCCGCAGAGCCAATCAGACGGGGTCACCGGAGGACTCTGGGAGTTTAATGCGGCAGTGTGCCGTCTCGTCCAAACACAAGAACCCACCAAAAGCGTCTGTCCCCAACTAGCACGCTGCTTAAAGGTTATACTAGCCATCCCTGAAAGGTCAAGGTGGCGTATGGCCATACTCCGTTTTGTGTGTGTCACTGTTCATAATGCCACACATTTATAAATGTCTCTCTCATGAATGGCTCCCTATATTTATTTTTTATTCTTCTTTAGTAGCGTGCTAGAGGCTAAATAGTCTTTGGCTTCCAACTGAGCTTTCTACGCAACTTTTGTTTCGGTACCCAGGAATTTGTCAGAATTACCCAGCAAATTGCTTCAACGTGTTGTGAGACTGAACAAGCAGGGTAGTAAATCAGGGCGGACCGAGGGAGATTTCTGCTGCGCTGTGCAGTACTGATGAAGTCGGCATGCTACGCTAGCTCACTTCCAACGGCCCCGGGGCCCGAGAAAGAGCGTGCGCTCTCCAATAACCGTGGCAGATTTACACCTGGATGAACAGCTCATAAAACTCTCCCTATAATCACATTTAACAAATTCTGGCACACAGGTGAGAACACAAGAAATTACAGAGGGGTGAGGAATAGTGCTACGGCAAATTTGGGGAGTGGAAAGAAAAAGGCTATCACGGTTTTCATAAAAATATTAAGCACAACTGTTTTCAACAGTGATAACAAAAATGTTTCTTGAGCAGCAAATCAGCATATTAGAATGATTTATGAAAGATCATGTGACACTGAAGACTGGAGTAATGACTGCTGATAAATTCAGTTTTGCCATCACAAGAATAAATTACTTTTTAAAATATATTCAAATAGAAACCAGCAGTGTTGGGCAAGTTGCTTCCAAAATGTAATACATTATATATTACTAGTTACTGTCTTTTGAAAGTAATTAGTTACATTACAATATTACTGTCTCTGAATTGTAATGTGTTACACTACTTTTGAGTTACTTTCACCAAAATATCCACAGAAGTATTATAAAATGCCAAAATGTAGTTTATTGCTGCTCATTCTACATCCAGTGGAGGGTAAAGTGGTAGGTCTATATAGGATAAAATATATGAAATCATATTTAGATACTGGTATGTAGGTCTACATTCATGTTACGTTGTAGTTTAGGTTAAAAAAATGTAAGCACAAATCGCATTATTACATTCATAAATAACACCGGTAAATAAAGCGAAATATTATCATGTACAAACAATAAACACACAATACCTATTATTTTGAGCGGTTTCAGAAGAAAACAAGAATGAAAAAGATATGTTGCTAAACAAGCCAAAATGAATTAGGCTAATTCAAAGCGAAACTGAAAGCGTCTCCCACTTGGAGGGAATGGAGGTTTTATTCATTTGTTTGTTCATTATTTTCTGGGGACAAAACTGCTTTATGAACAAGAAACTATTCCAAGAAAATTCTGTTATATTTTCATGGACAAATACAATACTGTTCAAAGGTTTGGGGTCTGTAAGATTTGTTGTTGTTGTTGTTGTTTTGAAAGAAAGAAATACTTTTATTCAGCAAGTTTGGGGTCAGTAAGATTTTTTTTAAACAAATAAATACCAAGTTCTGTCATGAAACTCTAGATGGCGCAGGCTATGGGTCCTTAACGCAACTGATGATATTCTTAGCACTAAACGACTTGTCACAAGCTGATTGGTTCCCGCGGCATTCGCAGCCAATGAGCTTGCTGCTTTACATTTAAATGGCTGATTAGCATTCGCTTGAGCATTGCAGCGCGCTTTAAGAGTTTCTCTGAAACCCTCCACCTTCCCCAGCTCCACATGTACTCCACTAGAGTGATTTTCTCTTTGCATTTTTTTGTTTTATTAACATTTATGGCCCAAGCACCAGTCACTGCTATCACTTTAAAACAATATATTGAAATACTTTTATTCAGCAAGGATGCATTAAATTGAACAGTAAAAGTAAAGACTTTCACATTGTTACAAAAGACTTCTATTTAAAATAAATTATGTTCATTTTTACTTTATATTCATCATAGAATCATGAAAAATATGTATGGTATGGTTTACATACAAAAAAAAAGCAGTAATAATGAAAAATGTTTCTTGAGCAGCAAATCAGCATATTCGACAGTGCAGACTGGAGTGAAAATGCTGAAAATTTAGCTTTGCCATCAACTTTTTAAAATAGGAAACCGTTATGTCAGATTGTAACAGTATTTCACAATATTACAGTTTTTACTGTATTTTTAATCAAAATCTTATTGACCCCAAACTTTTAATGGTAGTGTATATTCCTATCTTAATTGGAATTTGATCATACCTTCATTACATAAGCATCATGTAGACACATTAAACCAATTGCTATAACGTAAAGCATGCATTTAGATGTGAACTTTCACCTTCTTCTCATCGCCGTCCTGCAGAAGCTGCATGTGGCTTCGGCCCTGACTGTTGGACCTGCGCAGGGTGGCGCTTCGATGCTCCGTCAGCAGGTCAGGGGGTGGGGTCACGCTGCGCCCCTGCGGATCCACCCAGGTGTAGACATGATTTGTGACATAACCGCCCGGGATACGGCCCACAGAACGCACTGACATGGAGAGCTTTTTGCTGCCCTTCAGCACCTGTTAAAGAGTGACAGACAGAAATAGCGGTACAATCAGTCTAGCGTGTCTGCTAAGCGATAAAAGGCAAAGACAGTTATGGGACTGTCAAGATATTCATGCGAAAATGCTAACATTTCCACTCCATAAGATAAAAAGCTCCATCAACACACATGCCGCACACAAACAAAGTAGCACACATTGTCGACAAAGCTACCTGAAAACTGAAGCTTAGCTCAAACTCAAACTACAAGTTCCACAATTTAAAGCAGTTAAACATTTTAAGTTACTAACAAAAAGCTAAATACATTGAAGCTATTTAAGGGGGCAATATTTTTGTAAAAACAATTGTTAATAAATAGCTAAATAAATAGAGAAAAGTAAATAAATAGATAAAATAAATAGATAAAAATAAATAAACAGATAAACAAATAATTTAAAATGTAAAAAATATACATATTTTAAAGCTATTTAAGGAGGCAATATCTTTAAAAATAGTAATTAATAAGTAGATATTATATAGCAATAAAATAAATAGATAAAATATAAATAATTAGAAATTAATAGAAATTAATGAATAAATAAATAGATAAAAATAAATAATAAACAGATAAAAATCAGTTACAAATAAATAAATAAACAGATAAATACAAATTATTTAAAATGTAAAAAAATTATAAATAGATAAATAAAATAAATAAAAAGATTATTAGATAAATAAATTAAATTAAACTCAAATAGATCAAATTAACTAAATAAATAATTTACAATTATTTAAAATATTTCAAATATATTTAAAAATAAATGGAAAACTGACCAAATCAAACAATGAAGATCTATAAGACTTTTAACTTAAATGACTGATACACTGCAATGAGCTGTCATTAGTCCCGTCCCCCTGCACCGCAACCCAGTTCTGATGGGGCTTACAGTAACCCTCCTTCGCATCGCAATCAAATAAATCTCACTCCCTGATATTTTGTGATGTCATAATCTATTAAAACATTTATTGGCTCAGTTTTTATGCGTATGTTGCTCTATCGAGTGGCAGAAATAATTTTATGTAGGCCATTCTGAGTTAACACCATGCTTTTCCAATGAGGGGGAAAGGACTGTTTTCCCCCACGCCGACTCCGCCCACACAGCTATGACGCGACACCGATCAAGTCTATTGTTTGAACAAAACAATTCAATAAAATAGAACCGTTTTTACAAAGCTACACATTGCTACTGGTTAAAAAAAGCTATGTTATTTTGAAAAGAGCTGAACTACTGATAAATATAGTTTAGTTAACAGAGTTGCTCCAACACTTCTAAAACATATGGGTAGATCTCTGCTCAGAGACATACAACACAGAGGAACATGGAAGTCCCCCGGTGCCTCATTGGTCTCTCATGCTGTGCTCACTATCACTCCACAGATCAAGGGTAGTACAACTGACACTATGGGATGCCACAACTTCAGTTGAGTGTGAAATGACACTGTTCCCTCTTCTACAACATACACACACACACACACACACACACACACACATACACATACACATACACATACACATACACAAAGCTGTCATTAAACACATCCCAATGCAACCCCAGAACCTATTATTGGCTTGAACTCAGAGAACTTCCTGTTCTCAGGGTGGCTTCACAGCATCTACTTCCCATGCAGCTCAGACTCCCTCGCAATTCACTTCAGAAACGGGGAGTTTGTGTTTGCAGGCACGCTCCGTTGCGTATCTCTGACCTAGTTTTGCTGAATGTTTATGGAGTTATTTCAGTTGCAAAATACAGTGGTCCAGATTTGAAGTGTAACATAATAAAACTGCTTTTTCGTAACTCACTCCTTCCATTGAAAATAAACACCAGTGGTGCTTCATAAATCCCCCAAAAATGTTTAAAAGCCCAAAGTTTGGATTTATTTAGGAGTTAATCTGGTCCATAAGCATTTGGTTTAGTTTCTTGCCTGGGACGGGATTTGCCTGAGTTGTTTAAGTGGGTGACAAGTTGTTTTTTTGGAATAGGAGAATGCAGAGCAAAGACAAATAAAATGCTGACACATCGGAATGAACAGAAAAAAAGAGAAAGGGAGATGAATGACATAATACAAATTTCTTAAAGAGATAGTTTACCCAGAAATTACATTCTGATATTTGTTTGTTTTTTTAAAGTCTCTTTTTTTCAGTAATATTGTGAAATCTTTTTACAATTTAAAATAACTGATTTAAAGGGGTCATATGATGCTGCTAAAAAGAACATTATTTTGTGTATTTGGTGTAATGAAATGTGTTTATGTAATTTTTATTTTCAATGTTTAAAACAGTTGTGGTGATTAATATTTATTTTTTATTTTTTTATTTTTTTATTTTTCAGGATTCTTTGATGAATTGAAAGTCCAAAAGAACAGCATTTATTTTAAATTAATTTTAAATAATTTATTAATATAAAAGTCTTTGATGTAATTTTTGATCAATTTATTGTGTTCTTGCTGTAAGAAAGTATTAATTTATTTTTTAAAAATTTACTGCATCCAGACGTTTGAATGGTAGTGTTTATTATTATATTATATAAATATTATAATATATTTTGATGCTTTTATGCTTTTCTTTTGTGTCTATCTTGACGCTTGAATGTCCCATTCACTGTAATTGCATGAAAAAAACAACAAGTACATCCTTCAAAATTCTTCCTTTTACATTCCACAGAAGAATAAAGTCATATGAGATTGGAACAACATAGTGAACTACTCCTTTAAGCGACTAGAGGAGAAGATAAAAAAAAGCTTTGTCCCTGCGGTGCATATTAACAAATAAAAGAGTGCCTGGCAGCAAGATTCTTAATGCACCATCGCTGCTCTAAAGTGCTGACTGTGACACTGTCTGATGGAGTGTCAACAAATGAGTGGAGTAACCGAATACTGTTGAATGAGAGAGAGAGAGATGGAGATGGAGGGATGGAGAAGGACATCTTATCAAATGCCTCCTGCATATGATATGCCACAATGTCACCTTAGGAAAGCCAATAATGTGGGAAAATGCATTAATAGCCCCAAGCAAGAACGGAAGGACATAATGGAAGCAAATTTCATGCTGCCGAGAGAGACGAGAAATGTAGGGTTTAGCTCATCTAGAAAACTTAAACTCAACATAAAACATTTGCAACCTATTTTACTTCCATAAATGTGACGTTACAGAGGTGGAGCAACACCGTAAGACCAGGAATGCGCATTAGGAAGGAAAGTCAATTTTGATTTCACATTGACTTTAAAGGCCATGAACACTTAAAGCTAATTGCTCCAAGTCATTTCTGATCTCAGCCTGATGGCTTTAACAATTCATATGAACACCAGCACACGCACACACACACACACTGAGCTGCAAGGCATTCTGTTTATTTACTGTCATTTCCAATGGGACCGATAAAGCATCTGAGGGCAGAATGAGAAATCAAGTCATAAATGCCGAATGTCTGAGCATGTGACGCTCGTGTGCAATGACCAGCTGGCACGGATACTGAAGCAATCAGAAAACGCATACATAAACAGACAATCTGTGATAGTTGCTTTGAATTAGCATAACAAAAAAGGGCCAATTAGATGATCACAAAGGGTAATTGGGTCTGGTTAGCAGTGCCGTGTGCTCAGAATGCGTTTATGAGATTACGCAGATGAGCTAGGAAGGGGCGCAGGAGACATTTGCATGTGATTGAGCGATTCTGAATGAAAACCAGGAGGACAATGAATCTAAAATATTTAAGAATCAATGTAGTACAATTAGATGGATCAGAGGCAGTTTTTGTGCTCACATGTGGTTATATCATCCCAACAGTTCTTTCATTTAGTACTGAGTTATGATCTTTGAACAATTTACACTGACATTTAGAATGATTTTTTATGTTTTCAAATAAAAGGCTGCATTTGTAAAACACAGTGAAACAGTAATATTGTGAAATAGTATTACAATTTAAAATAACTGTTTTCTAATGAGTATATTTTAACATGTAATTTATTTATCTGATGGCAAAGCTGAATTTTTATTAGCCATTACTCCAGTCTTATTAAAAATTATGACAAACTTATTCACTGAAGCATATAAACCAGGCTGCATGCTTGCTGCAAGCTGTACTCTAGGCTAACGCTTTGACACTTAAATATGCAACTACGCAATGCTGGGGAAAGTAAAATTTAAAAGTAACAAGTTACAATATTGCGATTTGCAACTCATTTTAATTACAGTACAACATTTCAAGAAAAAGCAATGCGCCGAGTTACTTTGAAGCACTATGCTCGATTTCCAGGCATTGGAATTGCTTTTGTTTTTGTTTTTTGCTGTAAAAAAGTGTTTATTCCCCCCAAAAGAGTTAACTAACATGCTATGACAAGCAGGCTGACCGTCCACCAGTGACTGCCATGAGTCATGCGTTCCTCTTAGGCATTACTGCATAAGCAAAATCTCAACTGCCAAAGCAATAACGAAACAATTTCTCATTTATTTTATATAATGAGAGGCCAGACACAACAAAGTACAGTTTTAACAATAGTTTGTCACTGAAGGATAATGAATTATGCTCAAAGTTCAGTAGTAAAATGGCAGAATTTGCCCGAAATGTCATCTGGAGAATGACATGTGTTGCAGGCAGTGAGGTCTGATATAGTTTGACAGCTCCAGACAGCTTTCAACAGTTCTGTCCAGAGCCGTGGCATCTTATGCTGGACGGATCGATCGAACTACGGCAAGCTTCTACAGCAAACATTTCTCGCTCTCTCTATGTATCCTTTCCATCTATCTCCCTTCCCTGCTTTCCAACTTCATGTCTCTCATTCATCTCTCATTCTTATTTATGAGTTATTTAGCAGGGGTCGCCACCACATGGGATGACAAGAGGGATGGAAAAGGAAAGAGTTGGAGTGAGAGAGATAGAGAGCGCTCGACTTAAGGGCAGATTTTGTGCTCGAATCAGGGGGAAGATTAAGGGAGATTTTTCACTCTTTGACTGAAACATGAGAGAATAGTTTAAGAGGT